ATGACGAGTAGCAGCAGTGGATGGAAGGGGTGGTGAGAAGGTGGGCTAATGAAGATCCAAGTCGGGGAAAAATAAAAGTAATAACAATAGGAGAGGGGTGGGTAAGGAAATGAGCGGGGAGAAATTTAATTGGGGAAGGGATGGGGCCCATTTGGCCACGCGGGCCACGCGGGGTGCGTCCTAGGGCGCACGGCCGGGACCTTCACAATGAACCAGCTGGTGGGGTTGGTAGGCAATGTAGGCAATCCGCGATGCAGTCGGGCAGCCTACAAAGTAGGCAAACGGCGTATCTCCCCCTCCCCCTCCTCCTTTATAGTTTGGCTGGATCCGCGCCTTGCGCCTGCGTACTGCCGGCAGTTGATCCACAGTGGTGCAGGTCGCGGGGCGGGCTAGGGGCCGGGAGAGGGGGGGGGGCAATGCATATGCAGCGAGCTCAGCGACCGCCCCCGCCCGCCCCCGCGCGCTCGGCCGGCCTGGGGGGGCCCGGACGCCCCCGCCCGCCCCTACCCCCGCGCCCCTCGGGCCGGCAGGGCAGGTAGCGGCAGGGCTGCCCTGGCCTGGGCTGCACAATGGGGCGACCGACGGACTGGAGGATCGACGGCCGACCTAACTAACGGCACTTCAGCCCTGCTGCACAGAGAGCCGAGCCGAGCGCAGTGGCGAGCAACCCCCGCGTCCGGTGGCCAGCGCGCGGCCGTCCAGAGGGGCGGCGACCCCAGCGTCCCGGACCCCGGCCCGGCGGGGGGAAGGACAAGACTGTTATCGAGCAGCATATCGTCGCCTACCCGGCGAGTAGTACCCGCCCGCCCGGAGCCGGGCCCCGGGAGGTGCAGCCGTCACCGCCGGGGCCGGTACCGCTGGGGCCCGGTCATGTTTTAAACATGGCGGGCTTGGGCCGGGGCAGAGGCCTGCCTGCGGGCCCTGCGGGCCTGGTGCCGTGTGTATACCGTGGGCTTCCGGCTGTGGGCCTGCGGGGCCTGCGGGGCCTGCTGGCGGCAGGGGCGGGGAGCGCCGCGTCATCCTTCATTGCGCAACCGCGGTATGAATCAAAAGGGGTGGAGCCCCTCCCTCCCCCACTAGGCCTACTACAACTCTACTACAGGCGCGCCACACACGCCCATCCCATCCCACCTGGAGGTATAATCACTCACCCCCCCCCCCCCCCCCCACCCCCCCAGGCCGCGTCGGCACCTTCCTCCTCACCACCTCGAGCTATCGTCCCGCTCACCACCTCGAGCTATCGTCCTGCTCACCACCTCGAGCTATCGTCCCGCTCGCGCCGTCGCGCCTGGAAGTCCCTGGGGGCCACGATAAGCCCTGCGGATATGCGCCGCCGCCCCGGGCCGGAGGAGCCGAGGAACTCGCACGCGGCGGCAGAAATGCGACTCCTTGTCGATGTGTGTCATCACGCCGGGCGTCAGCGAGCGACGCGGGGTCAGCCCGTCGAGCCGAAGGGCGGCGAAGGACACATTAGCCTAGCAGGCCTCTGCCGCGGCGATCGGCGATCGCCGACGAGGCACCGTCGGTGTCGTCTTCGCGTTGCTCCGCGCGGCGCCCGGGGGCCTGACCACGCGGTGAAAGCCGAGACCTCGGCCCCTGGTCGCCACGTGCCGCGCGGCCCTCACAATTCCCCATACCGTGGTCGGGATGGCGACGGTCGCCACCTGTTGCTGAAGGCCGGGGAAAGCCCCGGGCAGAGCCGAGCCGCTCCGCGCGAGCCCAGCCGGGCCGGGGTGCGGAGCGGCGCAGGGCCGCGCGGAGCCGGGGCTTACAACGGATCTCCGCTGACGAGCCGAGTCGAGCGGGCGAACAGCTGATCCACCGAGACGGGCCGCGGACGCGCCGGGACGGCTGGACGGCCGGCACGCGGAGGGTGGCGGCGCGGCCCCTCCAACAGAGTGGACCGGGATGCCAGTCCCGGTGCCGACTCACCCCGTCGGTAGAACACCACCACTTAGCGAGGGGCTCGCGAACTCGGCTCCTTCTCTCTCGCACTCGCTCAGGCAGATGGGGCTCTCCTTCCGAGAAGCGGCCCACCAGTCGAGCTTCCTGGAAGCGTGTGCGTGCAGGCAGGTCCGGTGGGCCCGGTGCAGCCCTGCCGGCTTGCCGTGCCGTTCCGTTCCGCTCGGTCCTGGCCCGGCGGCCGCCCCGCCGCACCACGCCGATCAGCTGACTGTCGCGAATTTAAATCGCCCGACGGAGTTTTAAATGAAGGCGCACGACGGCCCGTCTCGGAAAGCGCCGGCCCGGCGGCACGAGTGCTCCCCTGGACCTGGAAACCCCCTGAGTCCTGCCATTGCTTGACCACCCTGGCGATTTCAGGAGGCAACCTCCTCCCCTCCAGCACCTGCGCTTGGTAAATCCCGACCGCCTATCGGTACGCTCCCTCAAGAAAGCCTCACCTCGAGCATCCAGTTGGAGACGATGGCCCTCATCTGCGGGGTCACGTCCTTCTGCACGCAGGTGAAGAAGGCCGTGGTCGGGGTGTACTTCTCCTCCTGGCCGAGCATGTTGAGCAGGACACGGTCATCGTTGAGCAGGGCGGGGTCCGGGTACGCACGGCACTCAGTCTCGATACCAGACTCACAACACAGTAGATCCATCTTGTGCACGACGCTGCACCATCAATCTATCCAACCACTCGCGTTGCACAAATTTTTTTTCGAACTTTGTGAAAATGATAAATGACACCTTCCGTTTTCCTTAATTCTTGATGTTTTATCACAGTTGGGAACACACGGTCTCACAGCACTAATTTATTAAAACGACGACGGACACGGGGTTGAGTTGTTGTTGGTTCTTAATGTTTAAAGCACTTGCTTGAATGTTCACTTAACTTAAATCACACGCGAGTTCACTAGAGTTTCTTGTTTCGTACGAAATGTTTTTTTCCCCTTTCCTTAAACTTCCCCTTGCGCAGCAGTACTTGGTCACGTCGCTCTTCGCTCGTCCTCGGTCGGTGAGCGAGTGCGAGTGTGTGTCTGGCTGTGAGAATGCTGGCTGGGAGCGGAGCGGAGCACGGAGGCCGGGTTGGGCCGGGCCGGCTGATAGCAGGCTGAGCAGGCGGCGGAGGCGACGACTGCGGCCCGGCCGGGCCCGATTGGTCCCTGCGAGGGCCCAGGACCCCCCTCCTCCCTCCCGCCCCCCTGCTCCCTGCCTCCCTCTCCGTCGTCGTTGCCGGAGCTTCCCCCGAGCCGCCGCCAGGAAGGAGCGCGCCACCGTCGTCCCGATGGGCCGTCCGTCTCGTCCGTCGTCCGTCTGGCCGGACCGGCCGGCCGCGTGGCCCTGGCCTCGCGCAGGGAGGCTCTTGTTGTGTTGCGAGCGAAAGGGGTTGGGGTCGCGGACTCCAACCCCCTACAGTGTCCTGCAACGCCGGGGGTCACCGCCCGCCGCGTCCAGGTGAGTGCGAGCAGCAGACCGTAGCGACGCGCATTGCGCAGCTACCAGACTACCAGACTCACCTCGAACCCCCTTCGCAGCACAACGCAGCACGGCCCGGCTGCAGCTGGGTGCCTTCTTACACCCTTTCACATTTAAACACCCTCTTCTTCTACGACATATTTTGGAACCATCTGAACTCCTGTGGGCGTCGTAACCGTGGAACTCACATCGCCCGGGCGGCGGTTGTTGAGGTTATGTCTGCAGTCTGCGGTTGTGTGCATTGTTGTTGGGCTCTGTCGTCGCGTTCCAAGCCCTACCCGCCTGCTGAACCGAAGGACTGTCGAGCAGCCGAGGTTCAAAGTTGCGGATTTTTTTGGCAACGGGGCTGCTTCGGTCGTCTTGTTTGGGTTGGGCTGCTAGTGCCATCCAACACAATCTAAATATATTGTAGAGAGTTTTAAGAAAGATGGTAGCCGTCGTAGAACGGTACATAGCCTGGAGACACGGGAAAAACTGTCCTCTTTCGTGGCCACCCCTGTTAGAAGCATCAGGTGTACCGGAAGGACACGAAACATCCCGTCAAAGACTTTTCCAGTGAGAAATGGAGTTTCGAGTCGACGTCGACTGGACGTCGAATTTCGAAAACTAGCCAATTTGCTGGTCGAAATCGGACCGATATCGAATCGAATTTGCCTCGAGCGATGACTATCGGCTATTTATCGATATTGTGTTTCTCACTAGATCTTCTACATTAGGGCATTCCGTCGCGACGAAACTGGAACCTGGAGAAGAAGAGCACGACCGTCACTAGTGTTCCCTCTCCTGGGCTCGGATTGGTCAACGGTGACGTCACTGTGTCAGTCAGCCAATGAGCGAACAGGAGGAAACGGGAGCACTCGTGGTTGTGCTTTTCTTCTTTAGGTTCCGGTATAATCTCAGCGGAATACTACCCTACACCTACAACACCTGTTGAATGCTGGGATCAGAAAGCGGACCGTGAGGCGGATCGTTTCGGTTGCCATTCCACCGAATGTGGAGAATCAAAAAGCTCATGAAACAGTAGTGCTAGACAGATCAAATTGTTAACATTTTCTAGTTTTCTTGATAAAAATAATTATTCCGGACTTGTTGGTGTGCCACAGAGGTGCACAAAACTGGTCTACATACTGTTTTAAGTACTGGTTCCGGTACTCTCCTGGTGAAAATGACATTCCTGTCGACAGTGGCCACGCTGGGGCACTACAACTGCAACTACTCCAAGAGTCGGGAAGTCAACTCCGACCGACACTTGAACGTAGAGTACTTTTAACTCGCGCGCGTCACAGTTCATTCATTCCCACGGGTTCATACGCTCGAGCCAGCCGCGCACCCGAATTCCATTGACACTTCGTCTATGCTCACTGCGGGGAAGAAGTTGCACGTAGAAAAAACTGTGACCGCGGCGCGTCGCTGTGTCGATGTCCTCTCTCGCGCGGCGGCGGCGGCGGCGGCGCCTCGACGGGCTCGACGGCGGCGTCCGTATGAGATTACAATTATTCATTCCCTTGCATACCTCTGGCGGCGCCGCGGCACGGCACGGGTGTGCGTGTGCGTGCGGCCCGGGCAAGCCTAGGCCAGCCACCCTCCCTCCAGGGGTCTGGCGTCAACCCCCTAACCACGCCATGCCAAACTGCTTGCTACTACCCCTTCTTGTGGAGAGAAGCAGCAGAGGCCCCCTCTGCTTCGGCGAAGAGCCATAGAGCCATCCTGTTTGCTGATTGGTCTAGAGCTCATAACTCACCCCTTGTGCCTCGACACTGTAAATCTGGGGTGTCCAGTCCATGTCCAGCAGCTGTGCGACTAGGTTGCACTTTTGCAGGCCGCCTTGAATGTCGGCACCCTTTTCCTGCAGAGAGGTCCAGGCGCAGCCAAGTTGAGGCGCCCTCTTATTGGATGCCCCCTTTCCTGGGTCACTTTGCAGGCGATGGGTGCCTTAAGTCCCCCACCCCCCACCCACACCCCGATTTACAGTGTAGTCACGCCGCCACCCCCTCAGTAGTACCGGAGGGTGCGTTCGCTCGGCGCCCGACGCCCCCTTCCCCCCTCCCCTCAAAGCGCGTGACCGGATGCCTACCTCGCCGGGGGCGCATTTGACCAAGGTCTTTTGGCGAGGTCCCTCCCGAGGTCCCTCGCCCCGGCCCATGGGCCGCCCATGGCTCCGGCCGGCGGCGGGGCGGCGGCGCGAGATCAAGATCTGTGCACGGCGTGCCGCACGGCGTGCACTCCGCACCAGAAGGGAAACAAGGGAGTCCGGGGCCCGGCCGGTCGGGGCTCGCGCATGAATTTGGGAACCGGCTGCCATGGGGCCCGGGCGGCCAGCCTGGTCCAGGCCTGGTCCAGCACCGGCCAAGGATAACTGCACGCAGAATCCTTTGTTAGGCTGGCCGGGCCTGCCGCGCCGGCCGGCACCACCTGTAGTGGAGGGGGCCCTGGGCCCGAGCCCGGGGCGGCGCGGCGTGGCGCGGCGTGGCAGGGCCCCCCGAGCTCCACCGCTATGCCCGGGCCCTGCTCGCCCTGCTCGTTGCTGTTGTCGGTTCCTCGGGCCAGAATGAAAGAGATGCCAGCGCAGCCTCCACCCCTCGGCCGCCAGGGGCGCTGGCGTCGCCAACAACACCACCAGCTGGACCGGCTGCCGAGGCGTCGGGCCGAGCCGAGCGTGAGGCGCCCCCGCCAGCCCTGGCTGCTGGAGGGTGGCTGCAACTCGCTGGCGAAAAAATTAAAAATAAAAACGGCATGGCGCCGCGCTTTCCGCCCCCCGCGTGAGGTTCAGTACCACGGCGGCGTTCTGAAGAGGTTCAGAGACACCTCGGCGTCGTGGGGCCGGCGGTCGCAGCAGCGCAGCGACAGCAACCCCCAGTGCAGCCTCTGTGCAGCTATAGGACTCTATGTGCAGCTAGGCTACTAGCCCGGGTCCCAGTGGTCTTGTCCCTGGGACTGGGACTGGAGGTGGAGGTCCCCTTCTTCTCCGAACGGCGCGGAGGGTGGGCGCAGGGTGGGCGTCAGACTGGCGACATCAGGTCGTCGGCGAGCTGCTCCGGTCGACTCAAAGGGGAGGAGGGGGGGGGGGTTGAAGTGCCTCCTGTATGTACCACGTTCAGGCGGGCGGGCGGGCTTGCCTATCCACCTGTCCGTCCACGGCGCCTTACGGGCGGAGCGAGTAGGCGACCCGCACGCACGGTATAACTAAAAACCCCATACCTACCGACAGACGCCAGGCTGCCCGCTCTGTGCTAGATAGAGGGGGAGGGGGGGGGGGCGAGGGGGCGCAGCGGTGGGAGGAGAGTTTGCCTTCTGGTAGAGACAGTCTTTAAGGGGCTGTCTAATAAAGAGTGCGCAGGGCTTATCACCTATCCCCATACCACATCGCCTGCTCGCCCGACGGCCCTGGGACGTCCTGCGTCGAGAAAGTGCATCGGCGGTGGGCGTTGCAGGCCGCCGCCGTCCTCCGGCCTCGCTAAATTTAAGGCGCCCTCGGGGGCATGCTGAAGCAACGCAGGGCGAAAGTGACGCCTGTAAAATCAGTGTCTGCGTGTGTTGTGTGCTCCCAAGGTCCGCCCCGCCCCGCCCGCCGCGCGCGCAGGGCCTCTCGCAGGGTGAATCCCTGGTAGTACGGCATGCGCTGCAAGAGTCACGTAAGACGTATTGAGGCACGCATGCAGTGAACGTTTCCAGATTGAAAAGGGTTAGAATTGCACGCAAAACTGCACCAGCGGACGTGTTTGTACAGATGCCACCCCTATTCGAATGCTCGATCGTGAGTCACAGGCTGTATGCCACGCGCCACGCGATCTCCCGTGTTTTACCCAGAGCGCGACAGTCCTCGGAAGTCTAGTGCACGGCACTTCTCCCTACTGCCCTGTCCTCTCCTCTCACCTGCTGTCAATCCCGCCCGGCCATAGGAGGAGGGGGCTGTGATCTGGCTGTGATGGACACCCCTGATGACTCATCGTCCAGCTGCCCCGAAAAAGTCGCAGAAAATCTGCCCGGGGAGAGAGGGGATCCCCTGACTTCCCAGAGGCGCCCACACCTGCCCCGGGGCCGACCAGGGCCCCACCGGCCCACGACCCCGAGGGCCGAGGGCAGCCTAAGGGCCCTGGAGGTGATTAGAGGAACCGCCGCCGCCCCTCCGCCTAGGGGAGCTTGTTAGCCCCGGCTAAGCGTAAAGCTCTTTAGCGAGAATTGGGCTAAATGAGTGACCGCCGCCCCCCCCCCACCCCCTCTTTTCTGCATTCTCGACGACGAGACGCCGTGCTCGCTGGCTTTGCTGCCCACTCCACCACCCCTCCTCTGCCATCTCTCTCCCTCCCCGCGACGACGCCCCCGCCGTCTGCTCCCCTCGTGTGCAACCCCCCTAAGCGCACAAATCTCACCTGTGGATTTCTCCCACACACCCCAACTCTTCACCTGCTGCAGCTTTGAGACACACCCACCCCTGCCCTCGACACGACCACCACCCGACTCCCACCCCCTCCTCCCCCAATCTCACTGCTCCCTGCCCCTTCCTCCGTGCGCCCCGCGGACACAAACGCACACACACGCACGCACTCACACTCGGCGCACTCGCTCAAATTGATGAAGAAATGAATGGATGCGATTGCGGTGGCCATGAACCCGCATGGAGCTCGGCGTGGCGTGGCGCGGCGTGGCGTGGCGTGGCGCGGGCTGCGAGGGGGGAGATTTAATTGGGCGAGGAACACGTTAGGGAATGAATGGTAGCACAGGGGGTAATGAGATAATGGGAGAGCGGGAGAGGAGGAGGAGGTGAGAGGGAGAGGAGGGAAGAGGAGAGTGTGAATCACAACAGCTCCGCTCTGGTAATACACATACGCCCGAGCATACGCCCCCCCCCCTCCTCCACTGTTAATTTTAATGCGATAAATTTCATACAATTTGCAGCGATGAATTAAAAGAAAGCGATTCACAGAAAATAACGCAGTCTGGGGAGCGATAAGTGTTTTATTGCAGTGGGCAGCAATAAG